TAACAAGTCTCGTTATATACGTTATTTCTCATATCTTAATAACTTATACAAAAGAAATTATAATTTTACACAAAAATCTGAAGTAAGAAGGGACAAAACACGTGGCAAACAAATAAGTGAAACTACAGGTGAAAACTCAGATCTGAGATGTATGTTATGTAATCAGTATATGTCTCTCAAAACAGTTGCTTAGATAATTTATTTTCTTAATACATTCAAATTTATGTGTTAATAAATATAAATTTTTTCATGGGCTTATGGGGTAGGCTTCATGCTTTCTGAACAATTTAACTTATTTGGATATCAACGGATTGGAACTCATTGTACAAGTTTGATTGACAAATGTACCAATTAGCTGTTAATAACATAAATCTAATCACTATACAAATCATTATTTATCAAACAACTATTTAAAGGCCACATCTAGTACAATCTTCTATCAGCCAACTAATGCTATTATAAAATTACTCATTCTTACATTTATGTTTTTATATATACTTTTTCCGTTCTTTAAAATATTAAAGAGATGATTAGATTAACTCACGGCACAAAGAGGAATCTTGCTGTAAAACTAGCTACTTGCACATTTAAATAGAGCCAGAAAAAAAATTATGAGGTGACACACATTACGTGAACACATGATTCACGGGTTTCTCTTCATCTCGAGAGACTTTCTAAAAAAAAAAAATCTATAATTTTCAAAATACCAAACGATCAAATAATTGTGAAGCAAAATCATTGAAAGTTTACAAGTGGTATAAATGTGAGGCAAAATAGATCTGTGCATGCACGTACCTCATCTGCTGATCAATAATGCACCATTGGTATAAAGCTGAAAACCAGCATCGTGTTCCACTTGATAAGGGGACTCAATTATTAGAACTCAATCAAAATTTTGTCAACGCTTTTCTTTTATCAACTATTCATTATTATTATTATTATTATTATTATTATTATTATTATTACCATTATTATTATTGAAAAATAGCAACATAACAGAAAATCCTAACACTCGCTGTCCGGAAGATTTTTCTCCGAAACATCATTGCTAACCAAGCCTATGATCTATCGTCTGGGCTGAAATAACATCATCAACAGTTTTTCATGCGTCTGAAGCTTTATCATTATCGTCAGTAATATTGTCATTCTCCTTGTTTTCATTCGGCTCCTCTGTTATTATGTTGTCCTCATGCTTGGGTGGCGGCACGAAAAATGGTATTTTACCCCTTTGCCAATCGTGGAGAATCATCATTGCAGCAGTCAAGTAGTCGGGCTCACCTCCCTATGAACATAGACGAAGCTATTTTATCAATCAATGAATCACATGCATTTTTAACAAGTGATTTTCAATTTTTTGGGTATAGTTTTCCACTTTCCAAAGTTCTCAATACGAGCTTCGGCAGAATTTAGAAGCCACTGGAATCATTCAATTTTGAAGTTACCTTATTTGTAAACAGGGTAGAAGCTGCAGCTCACTGATTTTATATTATTTTTATTTTTTGCAAAATTCGAGCTAAGGAATTCGTGCTTCCAAGCTTTTGGCATTTAGAAGCATATATGTGAATACATGGAGAATTAGGTTACCTTTAAAAGTTTCCCAGTCGACTTGCACAGCTGAACGAGGAAATCATTTTCATCCTCCCTGAAGACAAATGANAAGTCAAATACAGGCCCGAATGCAGTGGTTGACTTGACTATGCTTGTAGTCTGGCAAGCAATAGCATCAAGCAAGTTAAAATTACGAAGCTGCTTGTAATTTCAAAAAGTTCGGGTTTTTTCGTAATAAGGGTACACAGTAGAAGATGGTACTAGCAATTATAGTTTGAGTCTAATTGTAGTATATTGATTTCTAATGGCGTAAACACAAAAGGCTCACCAGTCGCTAATCTTATAGGCTCTCTCCAGGTCCTTCCTCTTGACACGTCTCAGAATTTCACCAATACGTTCAACAGCAGCATGTAAATTTGACACTTGAACCTGGGAAAAAGAATTAATCAACATATCTTCTGAAAGAGGTAAAACGGGTAATAAGAGCACTAATATTGATAACAAAATTTGGATAAGGCAACATTCTTCAAGTTTTGCTTATCACAAAACATGATTGTCTAATGATACAAGATGTTATGAAAATCCTCTAACCAATATCAGCACCATCCATTGATCTGAAGCAAGTCCCCCGAGACAAGGCTCGAGAAACAATTTAAACATATAACTGATGAGAATTACATACCATTCCTTTCAATACAATATTTGTTTCAGAGTCCTTGTTCTGATAAACAACTCCCGGGCAATCAATCAGAAAGATCCTCTCTGTGAGTGTTATGTATTGCCACACTTTGGTCTCCCCAGTAATAGGAGCAACTTTGCAGACCTATCCATTATAAGCATTTGTAAGAATAATTAGGCAACTCACAAAATTAATAAAGTATGAACAAAGCATTAGATATCCCTGGAATATCTCAAATAATATAAACAAGAGACACTTTGCAAAATATAAAGGTAAGCATTGACAACTTCGGAAAAGTATATTGGATGCACATAAAGTCTTGTAACCACATGATCTGTGTAAGGGGAAACAAATCAAATTTCTCCCATAAACCAATAATTCCACCAACATTTAAAAGGATAGTAAAGAAAATGAAGGTCAATCTGGGAACGGGAATAGTAAAGCATGATATTCAAGCATATCTTTCAGACTTCAATATCTAACAAACCATGTCTACCTTTCTGATTTGGAGTAGTGCAGGACAAGAAGCAAAGATAGAACTAAAAGGCCATTAGCACGCACATGAACCAATTGCACATAAGTCAAATATGTTCTCTAGGATCAGGCATTCCTTTGTAATGCTCAGAAAAGAAGACGCAAATGCTGGAGCTACAACTTGTCTAAAGAAATATTCAAAAACTTGCATTTGAATTTGTTAGTGTTCATTGCATATGAGGGCACAAAGTTACCACAGTTTCCAGACTATAGCTTGTTCTGAAATAATTTGATAGCAGATTCATAACATCAAAGAAAAGCATAGCACTGTTTTTGTCTTTCTTCTGCTTATTTTGAAAAATCAAACAGTTCATTAATCAACAACGAACAAGGAAGCAAAAATAACTCAAAATCAGGAGATTAACTACAAAGAGAGCCTTACATTCTTTGTGCATAAAGTATTGATAACTGACGATTTCCCAACATTTGGATATCCAACAAATCCCACAGATATTGCTTGCTTGTCACTTTTCAGACGAGAAAGTTGTCTTAATACTGAAAGAAGGGAATCCTGAGGTAACAAGAAGGGTAATGAATATTAGAACCAAAAACATTAGAAGCCATCGGAGAAATAGTTCAGTATTATAATCGATGATGTCCAAAAATTGCACAAATTCCTTCAAGGAGAAGATGAATCATGTTCCTCATACTTACATACCACTCCCTTCAGTTATGATAATTTCAACGTGCATACCTTTCCAAATGATTTGTTTATGCTTGCACGGAAAGCAAGAGCAGGGTATTCCTTCGACAGAATTCTAAGCCATCCTTTTGTTGCCCAAGCTGGAACTAGATCACACTGTCAAGAGGCAGACAGGAAATAATATCAACAAAGAGGAGAGGATTAGAGGAAGTGTCTTGAGATCAATATTGAACAACTATGCTCCTCAAACATATGCAAATAAGTGCTATCGACCTTGTTCAATAGAAGGATCATGTGCTTATGCATGCAATGCTCCTTCAAATGCCTCTCCAAGTGGTAGCATCGTGTACCTAGCGGATCCCTGGCATCTAAAACCTGCCATTAACAAAATTTTAAAAACTGGATGCTAAAGACCAAGAAGTGGAACAAAAAAAATATTAACAAACATCACAGAAAGTCAGATATACCACATCTAACCTATCAGCTTATACAAGAATTCCAACATCTAATTTTTCTTGCATGTTACAGCAAGTCAGAAGTCAAGTTTCCTCTGAAAATTTGAAAAACAAAAAGGAACACTGATCCACTTTCGCTGGAGACTATGAAACTCCAAATGTACAAAAACCTAGAGTTTAACCATCCAAATTATGTGTTCAAAAGTGAATACATTACTTTCCAATAGATTGTTAAACGAACGAGCCGCTCGTGAGCTCGCTTCGTTG